GAAACACAGATATTTTGATTAGTTTTCTAACTCAACTAACAAAGAAATAACTAACACCTTAAATGGGTACTTCAGCTATTTAATCCTATTATGCTTTCAGTTTAACTATTAATTCAAAAATTAAGAAACAAAATATTTTCATCCTTAATTATGTCTAAGACATCATATACAAGCACCCAGACTAGATTTTTTTTTTTAATCATTGACCTTAATTTTCTGTTAAAATTTTCTATCAAAAATACTATTTTTGATAGTATTTTTACTTTTAGAAATCATCAATGCAAGTCACTACAATACTGGAATATTGTAAAGGTAGAACTAACCATCTTCTACTGAAATTTCTTTAACCTATTATAATTTTTATCTATTTATTTATTGCTGGTGTACTCTCCAGCTTATCTTATTTTTGTAAAAATAACTTCACTTTTCTTCTGACTGTCAACACATTCCCTAGATGTACAATTAGAGAACTTTCTTTCTACATAGCTTTAGTGTGTTACCAAGATCTGCAAGCTAACTATATGGCAGTGTTATTTTCTCTTGAAACTCAGGGTACTGTTAAAAAACTAGTCCAAAGTGTTGAAAGAACAGAACTATAAGGAAGAACAGAAAACAAATCATTAAGTCATGCTTGTAAAATAGATTCCTTCTGCTAGGAACGTATATTTCTGTTTAGTGTTAGCTTTCAAGGTATTCTATGTCAAAGAGACCAAATAAAGCATGCACTAATAAGTTCACTAATCATTTTTTTCAGTATTTTTTATTACTGAAGTTTTTCATCATCTTCATTTCAGCTGAATAATGAATTTCCTGTTTGTAGCACAATCTAAGCTTAGTTTACCACTTTTTTTTTTTTTCTAGGAAACATATAATCAGTTTGAAATGTGATGAAAATGGGCTTGCATACACAAGAAAGAGTAAATTTATTTTTCATGTTCATGAGAATTTTGCATCACCAACTTGCAGGTGCGATAGAAAAGAAGTACTTTAAGGAGCACATTGCTGATGAAAGGTCAGTTAGAAGGAAGGAAACTGAATGATACAATACAGAATTTTTCTTTATTTATTACATGTTGTGCTGAAATAGCAAGGTCTCAGTTGCCTGCACTTACAGATAGCAAAGGCCACCATCTCTGCTGTACCCTTACAGTTGCAACTGGGCTCATGTGACATGTCAGTGTTTCTACACCTAATAGAGAAACAGCTATGAAATACACAGCAAATGATATTGCAATTCTGATGTGATAATAGAGTCTCTTGTGTGCAGCAGAGCATTATCACCAGGCTAAGGAATGCTCCATCACGTGCAGCGGACAGCCATTACAGAAACATGACATGTGCAGCACTAGCACAGAAATCTTTCCAAATAAATACATTTTTGCCTAACTTGTAGGGCATTTTTACTTTTAACACCTTTCTTCTAAATAGATCAAAAGCTGTATTTCTTAATTAATTTTCATACCACTAGCTGGATCGTGTTTTCTACCTTAATTGTACAGTGATAACTACATACAAAATATATGCAACAGAACTTCTTGTGTTGACAAAAATGTCAAGACTGTTAGTATTTATAACGTTGGTTTTGATGCATATAATGCATTAAAATATGGATTAATTCAGTTTTCTAGAAATCCTTTCCATAAATTCAACAATTTTGATTTCTCTTCCTTGAAGAGCAACGGCATATTTTGGAACTTTCCCCAGGGCAAAAAACACTTTTTCACAGAATCACCCGGGTTGGAAGGGACCTCAAGGATCATGTAGTTCCAACCCCCCTGCCTAACAGGGCCACCAAACACACACATTCAGATCAGGTTGCCCAGGACCCCGTCCAACCTGGCCTTGAACACGTCCAAGGACGGGGCATCCACAACCTCCCTGGGCAGCCCATTCCAGGTCCTAACCACTCTCCTTGTAAAGAACTTCCCCCTAACATCCAACCTAAATCTTCCCTCCCTCAACTTGGATCCATTTCCCCTAGTCCTGCTGTTGTCAGCTCTTTTGAAGAGTTTACTCCCCTCCTGGGTGTAGGTTCCCTTCAGGTATTGATAGGCTGCAATGAGGTCACCCCGCAGCCTTCTCTTCTCCAGGCTGAACAAGCCCAGCTCCCTCAGCCTGTCCTCATAGGGGAGGTGCTCCAGCCCCCTGATCATCTTAGTCGCCCTCCTATGGACCCTTTCCAAAATCTCAATGTCTTTCTTGTACTGAGGGCTCCACACCTGGACACAGTACTCCAGATGGGGCCTCACAAGAGCCGAGTAGAGAGGGACAATCACCTCCCTGTCCCTGCTGACCACCCCTCTCCTGATGGAGCCCAGGATCCCATTTGCCTTTCGAGCAGCCAGAGCACACTGCTGGCTCATGTTCAGTCTCTCGTCCATCAGGACCCCCAGGTCCTTCTCTGCCGAGCTGCTCTCAAGGACCACTCCTCCCAGCCTGTACGGGTGCCTGGGGTTCTTCCGGCCCAAATGCAAAACCTTGCACTGTGCTGTGTTGAACCTCACTATGTTCACCCGAGCCCAGCCCTCCAGCCTGTCGAGCAGCAATATATGGTGAGACAGTAGAGGCCTTGGGTATGGCAGGTGCTGTATATGGTCAAGAAAGGACATTAAGGAGAATGCAGCATAAATGCAGAGAATGTGAAATGGAAGCTGGCAAGGGACCGGAGTTTGTGTTATTGGCTGTGAAAAAGCTTATACCAACTTCCTGATAGTAATGCTTGGTCAGGGAATTCAAATTAATTCATAGGCCAAATTATATCTCCACAAATTACATCTGTAAAGTTGCTGCAAAAAAAAATCCATTAATCAGGATGTTAGGAGTACACCCATTCAGTTCCCTAAATAATAAAACCTACTGTCTGCTCAAATGAGGTTTCATTTGTACTAATATTTAGGAATGACTCAGACTTCAGGGACTGCTAATATGAGTAATAGCATCACATTGATTCAGGATGTAAGGAACAAAAGTAACAGGTTCAAGAAAAGTCATATTCATTATTAACCATCAGTTGCAAGAGCTTAATATGAAAATGTCAAACAGCTGAGAAACAAACACATAATGGCCTGTAATTAGTAAAATATAAACAACAAGCACCATTATAGGCAATATGAAAGTTTGCAGACACCTCATTTTCCCGCTCATTAGCCATTTGATTGATTAATTACCCCCAGAAAGACTACAAACAACCAAAGGAAAAAAAAAAAAAAAAAAAAAAGAAACTAAGTGCACTCATCTGCACCTCTTTAACACTGCCGGGGACGGCGACTCCACCACCTCCCTGGGCAGCCATTCCAGTGCCTGACCACTCTGAAAGAAAAAGTTTCTCCTCATGCCCCTCCTCTGGACGTGCTTTAACAGGTTGATGTTTCTCCTGCACTGAGGACTCCTCATCTCAACACAGTACCTCAGGTGATGTCTCACAAGCACAGAGTACACCGACAGGATCATAGAATCATAGAATGGCTTGGGTTGGAAGGGACCCTAAGGATCATCAAGTACCAACTCCCCTGCCACAGGCAGGGCCACCAACCTCCAGATCTGGTACTAGACCAGATTGCCCAGGGCTCCATACCACCTGATTGTGAACATCCAGAGATGGGGTATCCACAACCTCTCTAGGCAGCCTGTTCCAGCACCTCCTCACTCTCTGTGAAAAACTCCCTGACACCTAACATAAACCTCCCCTCCTTGAGCTTAAAACCATTCCCCCTTGTCCTACTGCTCTCTAAAAGAGTGAAAAGTTCACCCCCTGTTTATAATCCCCTTTTTAAATACTGGAAGGCTTTAATGTGCAGCCTTCTATTCTCCAGGCTGAACAAGCCCAGCTCCCACATCCGGTCTCTGTAGGGATTTTATTGATGTTTAAAATGTCTTAAGGATCACTTTCCTCACCCTGCTGGCCTTGCTCCTTTGAATGCTGCCTAGGATATGGCTGGCTTACTAGACTGTGAAGGCGCACTGCTAGCCGCGTCCAGCTTACCATCCACCAATTACCCCCAAGTCCATTTTGACAGGGCTGTGATTAATTATTTCATCTTCCAGCTTGTATTGATAGTGGAGGTTTCCTTAAGCCAGGTGCAAGACATTCCACTTGGATTTATTGAACCTCATTGGGCTCTCCTGGGCCCACTGCTCAAGCCTGTCTAGGTCTCTCTCTTTCTCTCAAGAAATCCCATTTCTTGGGAGTGTCAACCACAGCCCACACTTCAGGGTTGCAAGGTGGCAAAAAAACAAAATTTCAATTCACATTTATAAGACCCTTTCCAGTTGATATAAATACATGATGTACAAAATTTCAAATGGAATACATAGAGTAGCAATCAGATACTCAACTAAAAAGTCTCATCGTGTCTCCTTACTGGATTTTCATAACCCTTATTTTAATAGAGAAAAATGAATAATAGAAAAAGAAGCAAAAAATGGTTTGAGTTGGAAGGGATCTATAAGATCATATAGTTCTAAACTTCTGCTGTGAGCAGGGACATCTCCCACTAGATCAGTTGCTCAAAGCCCCACCCAGCTGAGCCTTGAATGCCTCCAGAGAGGGGGCATCCACGGCCTCCCTGGGAAATATCCATTACATTTTGTTGCTGTGTGGTAGATGGCAGCAGAGGAAGTCTGACAAAATGGTGCCTGACATCTAAATGTGTATGAAATAAAGGTGAGTCACTGAATACCCACTGAATACCGTGTGGAAAAAATTGCACCCATTGGCGTTTATCAACTTTTTCATAATTGCTATTGAGACCAAATAATGATGTGAGTGCATAAACCTACATAAACTTACCTGAATAATCAAAGTTGCCACATCTACCATAAAGACAAATGCAAAGATGAACATGCTGTTTCACAGACAGTTTCTCAAGTCACATCATCCTTTCATGCTTTGACTAGGCAGCCACTTGCCTAAATATAATTTAGTTGACTCCTCATGCATAATTTAGCAATATTGTATTCTTTCTGTGCAGTATTGAGCAGAAGAAAAATAGACAACTTACGATCTCCTTGGCAACGCACAGGACCCACAGATATCTTTGCTTCAGACCCAGGCCGGTCAATGTCTCCAACCACTACTTGACTCACTGGTAGGTGCTCTTTGTATGACAGCATCCCAGTGTCTTTTCTCCTGAATCACAAGAAAGCAATGGTGAAATGCATGATTTGCTTCATCGTTATTATCATCCAATGAACTAATGAAATAACTACACCAGTACAATTTTATTCTGAAAAATTAGACTAGAATGTCATCAGTTTGATGAAAATACAAAGAAAAGCATAAATTTGTTAAAAAATAGATGGATGAATAGCAGGAATTCAGTAAGAGTAGTATTTTTTGTTTCATTTTGTTTTGTTTCTATTATGATGATTCCTGGGCTTAGCTGGAATTCTTTGGGTTTTTCTGCTTTCTGGACTGATCAGCTCTGTTTAACAATTTACTGCTGATTTCTTTGCCAATGTTTTGTGAATAGAAATGAAAGTAAGACTTCCTTGGATGTCTAGTTAGCTCTAGATGTTGCCATTTACCATCATAATGATATGACCTCCACATGCTTAAGAAACAGTGTCTCTTTTGCATTGAACATTTTTAACAGTAAACTGAAAGGGAGCAGTTAAAGTCTAATTATCTGAAAAGGCTTGTCATATTAGTTCTGTTATTTCTAACACTAAAGGCGTAAGTCCAAAAATATAAATCTAAAAATTGTGGGTATGCAGCCACTCCACAAGTACTATTTCAGTTAGTAAGATATCTAAAATTCAACGCAGTCATGTGCAGAAATTCCTCATTCCAATTGCTGTGAACAACTCTAGAACAGATCACTATGCACTCATATAACACTCATCATTTACCATTTCAGGAGATGGATTCTGCTGGTATGTTAAGGATTATTTCCTCCAAATATAAAATGAAACAAACCAAATTTAATAAGATACTTCATCTCTCAATCCTCTTCGTTTTTGTATGAACATATTGAAAACAAAAGTATACACATAGTAAGTGTAGTGCTTTTTCTTTTTAACAAGACTACAGAATTTAACATAAAATGGAGTAGGAGGAACCATAACAAATCCATCTATTCTGATTTCTTTTTACTACTTTGTTTCTAGCTATACCTTGCCATGTTATTGAGTAGATGAAGTAACTAACTTTTTTATGTGATGTTCCTTTGCACAACAATAACATAGGATGAAGGATGAATTCAGAATCTGGAAAGATGCTAAAGTGCACAGTGTGAATGAAACAGTGGAACAGGAACCTGAAAGTCTTTCTTATCTCTAAGTTAAATAACGTCATGATCTGACTCGTTTGTAACTGGGAAGTAGAGCAGGCATTTCATGATCTGCAGTAATGCTCAGTACTTTCCAGTAGTGTCCAGTCACCATCTTTACTATGTTCTTCTGAACAGATGAAAAGCATGATTCTCTCATGTTTTAAAAACAAAATACAATTTAAAAAGTGAGAAAATAATTATCACAATTTTGAGTAACAAATCATTAGAATGGGCATCTCTTCTCTATGATGAAGTGTATAATTAGATTTAATTACTAGAACTTTTCATACACTTGGTTGTCTGCTTTTTTTAACTGTATGTTCTTCCTCTTCAGGTCATTTGCCTTTCTTCCTTGGCTCTTTATATTGGAGAGATCACTAACTGGCTGTGGTTGAACACAAATACTAAGTGTTCTGAAGACAGGTTGGCAAGGAACCAACGTCTGTTAAAAAGGAAGGAACAGAATGGAATAACCCTCACAGCTTCTTGTGTAGATTATGATAGACTGAAGCTTACTGTTTTGTTTGTTTGTTTGTTTGTTTTGTTTTGTTTTTCCCTCTGGGTTTCAATACCCTTTACAAAGGTTTCTTTATCATTGATTTGGAGACCAGAGATGTAAAAAGAGAGAGATTAAAATTAGTTTTAATTAGTTTTAATAAAAACTAAAATTAGTTTCCTTTGTACGAAGGAAAAGAGAATAACAAAGTATGCTGTCCTAATCTTCTATCTCTGCTGACAGCAGAGAGACATAGAACCCACTCCTTTCTAATGGAGGATATTTGTAGGTCATCACTTGACTCTTTGTGATATTTTCCTTTGAGATTGACTTTCTCTGCTGCTTGCTTTCAGAGAATTTCAGAGAACTTTGAGAGAATGCCTAAAAATGAATGCAATCATATGAAACAAACGATTCTTCAAAGAGTGGTAAAAGAAAACTATTGGCATTCCTCTTCTTTATTTCCTCTCTCACAGATGGATCTAGTATCTCTGCTGCAAAAAAGGATGTCAAAAGGTAGTCATTTAATTGTAACCATTAGAGCTTTCCTCTTTTAAAGGAAATAAAAAGTCATCCTCTACTGATCATGTTTCTATTCATTTTATTGTTTTATGTATGTATTTAATGATGTGTTCAGGTGCTGTCATGAAAGGGAAGATAAATATTACAGCTGTTTTCAGGAATATTTTCTGACGGTTTGTTGATTGTCTCATCACTGTGGAAAATGCAGTCTCCCATACAAAAGAACCATTATTGAGAGGTACAAGACTAAAGGTTGGGAGAACTGACACGTCTCTTCTCCAACAGATCCTGTGTAGTTTGATTGCTCTTAAGAATAAGAAAAAGGGGCTGGGATGATTGCTTTTGCAGCATCTACACACTAAAAAGACAAGTACTATGAGAAATACTACTTGTACTAGAATGCTCTTCTATGCCTTTCTGAGGTACTTGCAGATTCTGAGGACAGAGAAATCAGTGCTGACAAAGACATAAGAGTTATAAACTAAAGACTGACTATAATGATAGACTTTGTATTATATATTAGAAATAATCACATCTGGAACACTCAATTCCAAAAAATGTTAATACCTCTGCCAGTATCTAAAGATTTTGCACATTAAGAGGGTGAAAGAGTCCCTGAAGTTTTTTCTCACTGAAGAAAATTCCCTGAAAAGAGTAAAAATTGAAATCAGAGTGTTTCATATTCTTATTAACAGCCAAGTGGAAGATGACTGAATCTGATCAAATCCTTTATTTATTACTACGATAATTAAATTTTTCTATTTTCTATTTCTAATTTTTGTCCCTTTATAAAACAGTCTGTGAAGTCCTTCAGAATGCCTTTGAATGAAGGCAGCAGATATTAGTGTAAGATTTATCATTCTTTTGACTATGAACACTTTCTTGCTTTTTATAAGCATTACATAGTATGTAAAAAGGAAAAGTTTCAGCAAAAAAAACCAACAAAACAACCACCATCTAAAGTAACAGTAATGTTCTATATTAGATCAGTTTACTTATATAGTAATTTTATACAGACTTCAGATAACAGTGTCATTAACTTTCCCCTGTTTTGTTAGACATTTCAGTTATCAGTGTAGTCCTATTCAGGGAAACACAAAGACAATGCTACAGGTACAAATGTACTCAGTTACAAAGAAAGGTTTTTATGATCTGAAGAACTGGAACTGTTTGAATATGAAAAAAAAACTAATGCTTTTTGAATGGGAAGTGGGTGGAAAGTTAAACAAATTGCATAATTATTACTAATAATTCAAAGAATATAATCTCCCTAGAATTCCCTGTTAAAAGGTGTATGCTTGTCCAACTCTCACAAGCAACCATATTGTAATTCCTGAAATTCTATAACACACTTAGGCTACTCTGAAAGTAATGCCTCCTATTTATTTCCATGGAAACCTCAACAGCTACAAAGAGAACAACAACACTGTTTTGATAGAGCAAGCACCTGACTACAGCAACCTGAAAGGAGGTTATGGTGTGGTGGGGGCTGGCCTCTTCTACCATGTAATTAGCAATAGGACTAGAGGGAATGGCCTCAAGTTGCACCAGGGGACATTCAGGTTGGACATTAGGAAATACTTCTCCAAGAGAAGTCAGGCACTGGAACAGAGAGGTGGTGGAGTCACCATTCCTAGAGGTGTTCAAGAAACATTTAGATGTTGTACTGAGGGACATGGTTTGGTGGGAAATATTGATCATAAGGGATAACCATAACTAATCATAACTAGATGATCTTAGTGGTCTTTTCCAACCTTGTTGATTCTAAGTTCTCAGCTACAAAATACTACTTTTTAACAGCACCATTAGGTATGCACTTCTGCCAGTGACAAATGAGAGCCTGCATGTTGCAGTTGTAAAAATCTGCACTGGAGGAAGTGACCCACTATTCCATAGCTGCTACGATGTTCTTGCGAGGAAGATGCTGCCCACTCATTCCATCATTCATAGAATCAGACTGGCCTGGGTTGAAAAGGGCCACATCATCATCTTTTTTCAACCTTCCTGCCGTGGGCAGGGTCTCCAGCTACTAGACCAGGCTTCCCAGAGCCACGTTCAACCTGACCTCGAATGCCTCCAGGGATGGGGCATCCATAAACTCCTTGGGCAACCTGTTCCAATGCATCACCACCCTCTGTGTAAAAAACACAGATGATTAAAAAGAGATCTTTTTGTTGAGTAAGGAAAAGCAGGTGCAGCTGCAGTAAGGTATAGGCAAAACAAAGTTTTACAAGGGGTTGTTTCCATGGAAACTGCAGAGCAAAAATAAGGAAGTTATTAAGATTTCTTTTATTTTTTTTGAGAAAGCTTGTCTCCTGAAAATCTAAATAATATAATCAAGGACTCCCCTCTTCCTAGGACCCAAATTGCAAGCATAAACAAGTCCATCCTTTTACACTATTTACTAAAACTAAATTATAGTGAGGACATAATATTGGTTGTACATCAAGCACAAGTAATCCATGTAAAGAAAATAGAAAAGATATAATGGGTTAAATGACCCACACTAAGTTTATATACCTACAATGACAATCAGATTTGCATTTAGCACTAGTCACTTAAGTAACTTTGAGGAATATTTCCTCCCCACTCTTCCCTCTCCTAAACCCCCCTCTTCCCAAAACCAACCAGTTTGAATTAACAATGAAAAGGTAGGTTTAATTCATACATTTTTTCCTGGGTTTGAGATTAGATCTCGTTTTGCAGATTGTCTATCCCTCCCATGGCCTTTAGGCAGAAAATCTTTTTAAAGAGTATTAGAAAATAAATTTCCCCCTTTGAATACCTCTTGAATTTTTCTATCTTGTAACACCAACATTTTTAGCAGAATCCAAGTTC